CTCATGCATATATCAAACTATGCTAAATATTATTTTGTCTTACTGACAAAATTATTCAATTCGTACCGTATTTTTAGTGACATAAACTTCCACTTCGGGCACCAAAACTCTTCCTTCTACTCCCGTTATATCTTCTTCCATTTCTTGAGTTGTTGTTGTTGTTGTAGGTAAAGTTGTTGTTGTGGTGCTCAATGTTTTTAAATATTTTTCAAATGGATTTTTTCCTCCTACTAGCACCCTCGCATTCAGAAATTTTGACGCTGTGGTATTTTCCATTTCAGTCTTTTATGCTTACAAGCAAATATTTATTAATTTGAAAATATAAAGTTACATTACCGCTTTAGGTAATCTACATACAAAAAGAGAGATTTATAGTTTTTAATTTTGCCAAAGAGCGTATTCAACAGAACTAATACCGACGGTTGTTGAACAAGGGTTCGTGTGTTCGTAACTTCCTGAGTCTTTGTCAGATGGTATATGTTAAACTTATTTTACTTTCCTGTTTTCATAAAACTTATATCAAATTTCGTGCAGCACTTAGCTGCAATATCTTCAGCAACGGAATTTCATACTGCCTAGAAAATGACTTTACTTTGAAACAAATATTAAATAACTTTCATTTCTTCAAACATAATTACTATAATCACCACGCATTGAAGTCTTGTGATAACACCACTATCGTTTTCTTTCACTATCTTAGTGATTCTCCTTTGCTGTTCTCAATGCCTTCAGCCATGTGACCAGGGTAAACATTCTTAGCACAAACTGCGTAAAATCGTTAGCCTCACTCATCCGCTGCTATTTTTTTTGGAGCGTATTTATAAAAAAAACAATAGTGGTTCACAAAAATATTCGATTGCTTTTTAATTCCATACCGTGTGGCACGTGGCAACGCTTAGAAGCTATGGTATGTCTAAGGCGTTATCATTGAACATTCCCCAAAATCTCAGAAATAACGATGGCAAGATATTCTGGAACACACGGAATTATTCATTTTTGTCAAGACTTGCACTAATTTGCTAGTGTGAATGTGCCGCTATCTCTACATTTTAGCAAACGCTTTCCTTGTCTTGCGGAAATATTACGTGCCAGCGGAGACAATCTCTTTTTGAAATCTATTTATTTTCGAATACTGTCTGTTCTATTCTTTTCATGCGCAAACGCCCACGTCAAAATGCTATTCAATTTCTTTCGACATAAATGCTATTTTGTAGCTTTCTGTACACTAATCAAAAATAGTCATTCGCTCATCATATATTGTTCTTTTACTACATCTACATTCCGATAATACGTTTCAGCACTAGGAATAAATTTTCAAGATCGTTCGCTGGAGTTTTTAAGCAGAAATCCAGTCAAAATAATCACGAGGCAAGGTCTCAAAAAGAGTGACAAACAAGTAGTTGGGATGTCACTATGAATAAAATATTTTAAATCATTTTAAATCAGTCAACCATAAAAAATATATAGTCTAAATTATATAATCCCAAAAGCAAATAAATACGTCATTTCATTAAAATGTGACTAATACTTTTTCAAGTGATGCCACAAATGATAAATGAAACAAAATCGTGACATATCGCAATTTTCCTTGCCAAATTAAAAATAAAGATAAACATCTCTGAGACAACAAGGAAATTTTAATCTTTAGCGTTGTTTGAATTTGTACTAAAATGCGAGATTTTCAATATAAATCTAATAAGAATTGAACA